ACCGCATTTGTTTTTGTAAGTTTATAAGAGATGTGAAACTTCCGGATGGGTTTGGATCTAACATCAGTAAGAAAGTGAATGAAACCAATACTAACAATATTGGGCTGAAATCCCATGATTATCACATTCTTATGCAACGTTTAATACCCATTGGGGTTAAAGGGCTTTTGGGCAAAGATGTTTATACACCAATAGTAGAGCTTTGTATATTTTTTAAGCAACTTTGCTCAAGAACATTATCGTTGAAGGATATGAAAGAAGCGAAAGCAACCATTATTAAAATATTGTGCAAACTAGAAGTGATCTATCCTCTTGCGTTTTTTGACATTATGATTCATTTAGTTTTGCAATTACCTGATGAAGCTATTTGCGGAGGCCCAGTATGTATGAGATGGATGTATCCCTTCGAAAGGTATATGAAAAAACTAAAAAACTATGTCAGAAACAAGGCGAGGCCGGAAGGTTCTATAGCTGAGGGTTATGTCGCTGAAGAGACATTATCATTTTGTTCGATGTACCTTGAAGATGTCGAGACTCGATTCAATCGCCTCGAAAGAAACGAGGATGTTGACATAGAAGAAACAAAGTTATGGGTGTTTAGTCTAAGTGTCGACCGGCTAGCGCAAAGAAAATGAAAAATCTCAGTCTAGAGGAGAGAAAACGTCTACATTGGTTTGTGCTTGATAGTTGTGAGGAAGTCAGAAAGTATATTGCGTAAGTGTTCTAATCTTTTAACTCATTGTCTGTTTTTAATTTCTCCTTTTTTCGTAAATATATATTTTTTTCATCAATGTAGTGAATTAAAATCATTACATCCTGAAAGTGATGAAAAAACCGAATTCCCTAAATGGTTCCTTCATAAGGTCTATGATATGCAAAAACAAAAATCTCTAGAGTTTAACAAGGAGTTATCGGCGAGACTGATTATGAGGAAGAAGATTCCGATTATGATAGTGATGTGTCAGCAGACACTGAAGTATCTGAGGGCGAGAATGATTAAAAAAATCTTTACATTTGACTAATAAAATAAGGTTTGTATTTGTTGTAATCATTTCATATTATATGTATATATAAATATAAATAAATAAATAAATATATATATATACTATATATATATATATATATATATAATATATATATATATCTATATATATATATATATTGATTGTTTATAATTTTTCAGGATGTCATTTTTTTGGATTGCATTGCTCCATCTTATGGCTGTTGATGGGCCATGGAGGTTACGAGCCACCACATCCATTCGGTGGAGGTTTTGGTGATCACGAGAACGATGGTAATTAAGATTTATTCTAATTCGTTGTATTTCATATTGTATCTATATAAAAATTAATTTGACTAATATTTTTTTATGCAGCGGTGCCTCCGAAACGAAGAGGCATGGCAGTAAATAAAAAAATGCACAAACTATTTGCATCTAACGGCAACCGGCCTCTTAAGATAGTATTCAACATAAATACTAACATGTCGATTGGGGAGGCATACAAATGTTTCATTTGGGAGGTTGGGAGCTATATGTGGCGGGACATCGGTTTTGATAATGACACATGGACAGATGTTTCTGAAGCCGAAAGGGTTGGAATGTTCCAGTATCTTTCGGTAAATTATTTATAAAGTTATATATTTAATATTTTTTAATTTTGATTTATTTTTAATTTCTCTTTTTTTGTAGAGATGGTTTGATTTTGGAGAGATTACAAATCATCACATGGCTCCAACTTATTGGGCGTCGCTGAACAATCGGATATGTGCGCGGTATAGATGTCGCAAAAATATTGCAAAAAATCGTTTGACTGGTTTTGTAGGGGATGTGGAAGCAGCAAGGGCTCAAGCCCCTACGGGTATGGATCTGCATCGTTGCAATGCTACTATTGACCACTTCTTAACTAGAAAAACATCAAAAACGATCCGCTGGAAACAAAGAATGTCGGAAGAAGCAATTAGTTAAGAATAGTGGAGGGACGTGCAACTACGGTAGTGCTTGTTTCAAGAAAGTAAGTTACAAATCTATTCAGTTATAACATTTTTTAATGTTTATTCAAATATAACATATTTTGTAACGTTAAACAGAATTTGAATAGACTTGAAATATTTCATCGTGCGCATGTGAATAAAAAAGGAGAATTTGTTGATCCTTTGGTTGAAGAGCAATATGTAAGTTATTATTACTTAAGAATGAAGTAGATTGTTGTGTGTGTGTGTGTGTTTTTTGTGTGTGTGTGTGTTAGTTTTAACGTATATTAACAATCTTTGTGAAATATAGAATGCCTTAGTTGTTGAGGTTGTTTTACAGACTCATCACATAGCCGACTCTAGTGATGATCCAGACACCATTGATTGGATCGCAATTGAGAAGGTGTTGGGTACACGAAGGGTCCATGTGAGAGGCATTGGGCCTAAACATTCTTTAGATGCGGGTACAAGTGCTCCATCCCAATGGCAGTTACAGTCACAAGCACCGCAACCAATACAGGTACTTGTTAAATTCTTAAAGAATTTAGTAGCTATTTTATAATGTTAAAAACTTGATGTATTTATAGTAATTTTTGGTAGCTCGGTAGTTTGTTAAATTATTAAAGACTTAATTGATTTGGTCGTTTAATAGTTTGTTAAATTGTTAACGACTTAATTCATTTGATGCTTTGATGGCTTGATAGTTTGTTAAATTGTTAATGACTTAATGTGTTTGTGACTTAATTGTAGGATGTTGATGTGAATGCTTTTCTTCAAAACCCGGCATTTGTGATGGCCATTGGAGACATTATCCACTCGTTTAAAAACCAAGTCAACGAGGAAAACAACGATGAGAAAGATGGGGAAGACGAAGACACATAGTATTTCTTGTTTTATGTTATGGATGATGTTATTTTGGATTTATTAGATAGTTTATGGATAATATATTAGATGTTTATTTGGGATTTATTAGATATGTAATATGGTATATTTGATGTTTTATGTAGTGTGGTATGTATTTATTTATGTATTTTTATCAAATCTGCATTTTATAATATATATATATATATATATATATTATATATATATATATATATATATATATATATATATATATATAAACTAATATTATAAAAGATATGTTTTTTCTCAAAAAAAGCCATTAGCAGCGACGCCTTTAGGGACGACGTGGACCAAATGCGACGACACATAACTCCGTGAAGCTTTGCCGGAAAAACTCCAAACGGTGGCTGGAATGTCAATAGAGATGGCATCAATAGCGACAGCGCATGAGTATTAGAGACGATATGTATTAGAGACGACGGTATTTGCGATGACAAACGAGTATTAGCTACGAGGTAATAGCGACGACCCTTTAGAGACGACTTGTCGTCGCTAAAGGTATTAGCGATGACAAGGGACATCAATTGCAACGATTTTTGTCGCCGCTAAAGGTTACATTTTTTGATGTGTTTTTCTCTAGATTTATCGGGCTAAGTTTTAGAATCGATCAATTTAGAAGTCCTCTGTCTGCTTTAATCCATCCGAGGTCTGTAAGAAGTTCTCCAGATGATAGTTTTGATATACGGGAGAAGAATAGAAAAGAAGAATGATGGTGATTTGTGAGTTGTATGATCCACATATTCGAGGGAGAGAGAGAGAGAGAGAGAGAGAGAGAGAGAGAGAGAGAGAGAGAGAGAGAGAGAGAGAGAGAGAGAGAGGACCCCCTTTGCATATTATTTCATTTGTTTTTTTTTAAATAGAGAGAAAACACTAAATGGTCCCTGTGACAGTGAAATGACGAAAATATCTTTCAGTTAATGAACAAACTTAACGGGGTTAGCAATAAAAATTAATCGTCAAAAGTTTTGAAAGCACAGGGATCATCTATGAAAATTTTAAACTAAGGGACTAAACATCAAATCTGGAGAATCCACAATGATCATTTATGAGGTTTTTTCTTTATTATATTACAATTATTTTGAATTTATCGTATATCAATGTCATTTTCATTATTTATTGTGTTTTTCTTTCATTCTATTTAAATTTGTATTGCATTTTATAAAATCATAATTTTATTAAATGTCTATATATACAGAAACGTAGATAGGATATTCAGAACAATGTATATATTAATTTTAGATAATTACTATAAACTTATACTATATTTGTAACCTTATAATTTTTATAAATTTTTTATTTTTCATTACAATTTTAAATTATCCATAATGTTTTTTCTTGGTTAACTATGGTTTCCACATATTTTAACCTCATACTCAATATTAAAATATATGAATTAAAAGTTCTCCATTTCCTTTTAGTTCACTTTAAAATATAGCTTTCTATCGACTGAATCACGTTTTACAATACCAAAAACTTCAACTTTGTATTTTTTTTTGTAAACTCCAAATATCAGAGAGCCTGAGCCGATCTTCTTCGTATTTGACTGAATCAAATAATCAATAACTTGTTGTAAAAACAATTACGTATATTTGGATCCACATTTTTCTTCCAACCGCTATTTTACAACGAATCTAACAATATCTATCAGAAAAAAATGAACATTATATACCTATTATTTTTATTGAAGCTATAAAGATATATTAATTATAAAAAAAGATAAACACATTTATCCAGTTATTTATTCATATCGATAGCGATATTAAATTATGTTTCAAACGACAAAAGAGACTATATTACTGACGGCTTTCTGCCTCTTCGATCTGTGTATGATGCTCCATATTTCATTGTCATCCTTCCTTCGCTTGTTATCTTGATCCAACCCTTAATAAACAATATAACAATGAACGAAGAAGTAGATTTTGATTTTTCTCTCCTCGAATCCGTTAACAATTATCTTCTTGATAATCATTTCCTATCTGGTTTTCTTCTTTTCGATTCTAACGATTTCAGTATTCCTACCATATCTGAAGAATCTTCCATCAATATTGCCGCAGAAATATCGTCCATTTTTGCAGCCAAATCTAGCTCAGGTGAGGTATGTAGCCGGAGTTCCAGTTTTCTAATGGATGATACAGTCAGGCCGTTGCCAAAATTTCGATGACTTTGAGATCCTAACTTCTTCCGATATCTTTCCGGCCCCGAGTTCTTCCACTAGTTGTAATGAGTTTCCGGAAATTTCAGCAGATATTCCGGCCGCCAGAAGCGATCTTTCTGGTACCTCTTTACCTTCAAAGAAGGAATCAGCTCTATGCATGCCGTTAAACTGGGACTTCACGATTGGAAACGTGGTCGCGTTTGGCGAGAAGATTTTATCCGGTGAGGAGATCCACCAATCACCACCATGTGTAAACGAGTATAATTCTGACGATGTGAGGAATTTTGAAGCTCCGCCAATAGCATCACTTCATGAAAGGAGGTACAGAGGAGTGAGACGGCGGCCGTGGGGGAAGTTCACGGCAGAGATGAGGAATCCGGAGAAGAAAGGGTCAAGATTATGGCTTGGGACGTATGAGACGCCGGAGGAAGCAGCCATGGCGTACGATCGAGCTGCTTTTAAGCACCGTGGGTCTCATGCTTTGCTGAACTTCCCGCATTTAACCCAATTACACAATGAAAATCCCCAAAGATATATCTCAAAAAAACGATCATCATCATCTACATCTTCATTGTCGTTAGATTCTTCAACAAAAAAGCAATCTTAAGAAAAGTAAAAGTTTGGGTGGGCGTATGAAGATTAACTTCTAACCGTGTTCTAAAAGGTCATGGCGCATGCCAAGGTGTGTCATTACGTGAGGCGCGACTTCGCCGCTATGAAAAGCCTCATAACGTTGCTATTAAGCATGATGTGTGGCAAGACGTGATATGGCGTGCCATGACGCGTTATGGCATGTTATGGCATGTGGTTTTTCATTTGAGTCACATTTTTTTGCTCTTTTTTTTATGCATTTTCTAATCGGACATACAAATATTATGTTTTTTGTTAAGTTTTTGTTATTAGTTGTTGATATAACACTTCTAAAAACTAGTTATATATGATATAAATATATATTTATATGGTAATATAATTAATTATAAATTAATACAAAATCGCCGCCTTACATCACGTTTTGAAAAACGTCATGGCTCGTCATGACTTATTAAGCTTGAGGTTTGGCCTTACCGCCACGCCACGCCATGCCTCACACCTTTAAGAACATTGCTTGTAACACTTTATGTATATGAACATGCATCCTGAATATCATACAAAAAGTTGGAAAAAAATGTGTGTCGTATTCAATGTAATCACGGTTATTGGTATGAGGATATTGGCTCAGCGGTGTGATTTTTCATTTTTTATATTATAGTAGGTGAGACTCGTGTATTACACGGGTTGATTAAATAATAGTTAAATATCAATGTTTATATATTAAGCATTTTCAAAGTAAAATTTCAAAATAAATACAACCAAAATGACAAACAAGTAAGTAATTCAATCTATATTAATAAATAAAATTATTGAAAGAAACAAAAATAAGATGCTACAATGAATAATTCAATGGGCCTTACGTGACAAAATCACATATATTTAGATTCATGAATAAATCAATGAACTTATGCCTAATTTTTGATATTCCTTAATTGCATTTAACTTAAATTCATCAATACTTCGTATCCTTATGGCTATTCACCATAAGTTCAAATACAAGAGGTAGATCAAACACATTTTGTTACAATTTTTTTTGGAAATATTAAACATTATTTAAAAGAAAGGGTTATATATAAAGATAGTAGAACGTTCTCAGGTAAATCCTAGTTGCTTACAATTATGTATCATTTTCGTTAATACATAATTGTATTAACTGATTTCAAATTTACTAAAAATATCTCTATAAAGATGATTTTATTGTGGTATAATCTCGGACAATGGCCATAGTGATGTGATATATTTAACAAAATCATTGTTTTTTTATTATATACACAAAATATCTTTATAAAATGGTACTTCATTGAAACTTATTAAATTATTAATTGAGTAGCAATAACCATTAAAAAAATCTCAAATACTTTTAAATATCAATGATTACAAAATAAATTGATATATTGTGAAAAATCATTACTAATAAAGTATAAAGAATCAATGAAAACGTAATAAATAATATGCAAGTAAAAGAATTAAGAATACTAGAATAAATGCAATCCATGCAATAGAATAATCTACAAATTAATAGACGAAAAAAAAAATTTATTAGAAATTATAGTCATGAGACATATATTATGTATAGGTTAAAGACATATTGAATTATATATATGTAAAGACAACTTAATCTATATTTAGAAATTACTCTCATGAGATATAGATTATGTATAGGTTAAAGAGATATTGAATTATATATCTATAAAGACAACTTGATCTATATTTAGTTTTTCGGATCTAGAGACCATAAAATTGAGCAACGTAGACATTGGCGGTAGCTATCACTGGAGTTGCGATGTAACCTCAAAACTTTCTTAATGAACCCATAGAACTGGCAAATTTCTAAGGGGCGGTTGCGACATGATCAGGGGTGGACACAAGATTCAGTATTAGGTATTGTCGATGACGCATTTTATAATAGAAAAAAAAGAAAAAATTCAAAATTTTTTGCACTTTCAACAGACATGATAGGTATTGTCGATGCCACTATGGAAACTTATACAAAACCGTCACTGCACATGATGTAAAAAGGCAAGTGTCAATACCGACAATGTTTCTTTTGTTTTTTAAAAGATGGACTCCTTTGCAATAGAATATATATATATATATATATATATATATATATATATATATATATATATATATATATTTATTAAAGGAGGACCTTAGGAACACTAAAGTTTCTAAGGATTTCGCAAAATTGATCCCTTGTTTATGGGTTTGTGTTCACTATGTTGTTCTTGGTTTTTGTGGGGTCATTTTTTTTCATTTTGTATATTCTTTATGGACACGTGTTTTTCATATTTTGCTTCATTACAAATTATAAAATTCCATATATATTAGATAATTAAGATTTCACTTTGATTTTTTTTGTTATGATAATTTAAAAAGCAATTTTCAATTCGTAATGAATATCAAGGGTTTGATAATCATTTATGCAAAATCAAAAGAAAAAAGAAAATCAAATTGTTAAATGTTTTTATTTATTTTGGGATTTTGTGATTATTTGACAAATACGACCTAAAATTCAAAATTTAGAACTTAATTAAAGTAAGTAATGACATTATTTAAGTTACCATGTAATGAGGCTTAAATTTAGGATATTTAAAATTGGAAGGAATCTATGCAATAAATTTAGACTTAAATATAAATATAAGGTGGCATTTAAATGAAAATGGAAAACATGAGAAAATAACAAGTGGAATAATAATTAGTCTAAAATTTTTAGAAAAAACCATGTAGCAAAGTCATTGAGAAGATGATATATGACAAAATCATTTTGATTTATTAGGCTAGAATGATTGATTTTTTAAAAGTAGCTACTATTTATAATTACGTGAATTATAATTCATATATATATATATATATATATATATATATATATAGAGAGAGAGGAGAGATCATTTGAGAACATATAATTTCTCGAGAACCGAGAACTAGAGATGGAGTGTTGGATAAAAAAAAATGGTCAAGATGCATTGTAGCATTTTTGTAAATAAGTGGAAAAGTAAAAGGCGTGGGTACATTAATAAAATGACATATGGAGTATTTTAGGGATTTAGAAAACGAACCTATTCTAACTAATCAGATCCCTTTTCACAGCATAATAGACATTTTTGATTTCCAACTATGGTACCTTCGGTGGACGATCTCTCTGTAAACCCTACACGACACCACCGAGTCTGTCGATCTTTCCTAAAAAATCACCTTCATCGTCTCCTCCTAAACCTACACCATATTCGCCTCCATTAAAACCTACACCACAATCACCTCCCAAAATCGATTTTATTGCGTTTGTATCCGATTATCGATGAAGATTGAGAAGGAGTTAACTGTCTTTACCCATCATCTTCATAATGGTGAATCTAGGTTTGCAGGCTTCTCTATAAAAAGCGAAACAAAATTCACGATGAGAATACATACAGATTTAGATACAGAATCCTATACATTTAGTCGTGTGTGCGTACATAAGTATACATGAGAGAATTCGTTACATTCATTTACGAACTTTAACGAGATAAGATTGTTTGGCTTTGAACTCTAGTAGTTCTATTATTTTCTTCTTTTTCAATTCATGTAATTAGGTCTGTTATTCATTCCTCTCATTGGCTCCATAATCCGTGCACATAACCTGTTTGATGAAATGCCACAGTTTGCATTGTTTGAGTTTTTATACATAGAAGAGATTATGATGTAATCAATTGTTTTGGAAAATATGACCCTAATATGTTGTGTGGGGGAAAATGGCAGCACAAGTTACATGATATGGATTTCAATTGCAACATGTTTCCATAATATGTGTCAATGGAAGCATTATATCAGTAAGATCATCAAGACGACTGACTCATTTTCAATATTATATGTGTTGAATGAAAGTGAACCCATATTATACCATATTGATATTGTTTGTTGGGTTGTTGCAGATACATTTTTTTCTGAAGTCACAGGATGAGAAGAGACGAGTTCCAAGTCACTGAATGGAAGAGCTCAAATTTAGAAACGTACACAGCAAGACCTTGAATATATCCAGCTGCAGAAAGAAGTGCAAAAATCAAGCATGTCAAGCTCACCATCTTCAACCAAGTCCAGGTAAAAAACCCTTTTAGATCTTTGCGTGTGAAACGTACATTTCTATTGGAAAATACATAGTCAATGGCCGATATGTTGCAGCCCCAATTAGTCTTAGAAAACTATTAAGAAAGGAAATATTATCGCAACCATCATTAAAAATTTGCAATGTGAAATGTGTTCTATTAAGTTTCTTTTTTTTATTCAAAAAGGAAGGTAAATAAAACTCAGTGAACCAAAAGATGACAAAATGTTTTTGTCGGATTCATGTATAGTTGCTCATTCCTTATCTTTTTTGTAGTGATTGTTTTTTAGAAACACGTTGAACACAAATATTACTATTATACAATTTTTTTTCCAAAATAATGTTTTTTGAAAATTGCTAAAAGTGCATATGAATCTCACATGTGAATTAAGAACGAACTGCATTCACTTGTAATCTCCCCTTGAATTTTAAAAAACTGTTATATAGTTGTTACGTCATGTTAATTTATTAATGTTTAAGACTTAAAATTGGTTCTATTAACATTGCTAACTTTCTATCTGTTAGTAGCAATATATATTGAACTTTGAATTTTGAGACATTAAAGATTACAAAATTTCTTAGTAGCAAAATTTATTGTTCAATTTATCTTGACTATATAGCAATATTTAGTCATAGAATTTAGAAATGACAATTTTTTTAATATGAGCATCATCTCAACTTATTTTCTCTATTTTCTATCATATTTTTTATGTTGATAATTGGAGTCAAATAATAGATTCACATGTAAATCACAAGTGAATCGCATATAAATTACATGTGATTCACAGGTAAAGCACATTTAATCATACATAATTCACATATGAATCAAATATAATTCATATGTAAATTACAAGTGAATCACATATAATCATGTGATTCACATGTAAATCACATATAATTACATGTGATTCATATATAAATCACAAGTGATTCAC